AGGTATTTTTGTGCATACCAGGAAAAATGGTATGGGGACAAAACAGAATTAATACACCGTCAGACTGAATTAGAAATAACAGATATTTTTTCATTTTTACTTCCTTTTATTGAATGCATTATATGATACAGTTTTCAGGAAGAGAAAGTGGCCAATGAATGGGCCATACAACACAAAATCCTGAAAATAAGGCGGTAGTGATGGGATTCGAACACACTCCTCCGGTAGCAATTATCTGATGACCTTACCATTGGGCCATCACCTGCACTGAATTAAGAAAGGGCGAAGGAACGACATCTCAAAGTGCTTGTTGGTTTGCTCTTTGTCAGCAAATCTTTCTAGCGTACAACATCCCTTGTTTCCTCCTCGAAAAATAAACTGCAAACCAAACAGGCTTGGTAATCTTAAGATCGCAATTGTAAGACAGGTGTGATTAAGGAATATACTAATGAAAATCGGACGAATATTTACCGAACAGGGGTAAGACAGAAATTACGGCACATTTGACAGTTTTTTATTCTGAAGCAAACATTCAGGTTACTTCGTTCACGGTCTTTATTAAGACCATTCAGATAGTTTTACTTCACTCGACTCTGCCCGATTCACAGTAATTTGAGTTGTTATCCCTTGTTTCTTTATTTGCATTTTTCCGTTGTGAAACAGTGCGGATTTAATGCAGAACATTCCTGGTGAGTTGAAATGCGTTCACACAAAACGTACTTGGTATAGGTCAACATCGTCATGATCATCATCCTCCATCTGCTTTTGTGCAATCCTATCCACTTCATATGCCGACTAGCCGTGCGTGTGCGTGTGTGTGTGTAAACATTTGATTACCGGTTCCCCGTGTGATGATATTCTAACTCTAAACAAGTTGTGCCCATGTTTTGATTTTTCGGGGTGTGTGGATGAATCATCCGCCTTGGGTGCCCTGTGTCCGGTGGGTTGTGCTTTGGTACGCGTGCATATGTAAACATGTTGTCTGACCTCCCGTGAATAATCATGAGACGCATGCGAAAACCGCAAGATCTGGTTGTTCAGGGAGTTGACCGTAATATGTCATAGTTCGATTCTCAGTAACATTGAAATAGCAGATACAAATGAACGTTCACATCCGTATGGCTCCGATAACCAGCGACACCGGGTTAGGTGAAAGGAACGGTGAGCGAGTGTGGGATTACGTTTTAGATCACATGCATCCCTCGACAAAAAGCATTGCACATACACCTAGATGTATGCATTATCTCCGCTCTCACAAGCACCATTATCACCGATTTTAACAATCTAGATGGTCATTCAATGAAAAACCAAAATACTAAATCTCTTAAATTTATCTATTATTCTATTAAAAATGTTCTTTTTTACAAAAAAAAAACGAATTTTCACAGCGTCAAAAACATTGCATCTTCACAGACTCAAGCCATTGATGCCACTTTATCATTCTGTATACGATTTCCAATCATGTCCGTATCGATCTAATCCCACTACCCAATCAACAATGTCTCAATTCGTGTTTTGGTGTGTCCACTCTGTAGTTTTGTTGTAACGTTCTGATAACAATATCCGCAATGTTTTCTAATTTGGATCCCAAGCTGGACTGCACTCAGGTGGCACTATTGCATTGATACGGTGAAATAATAATAAGCATACCGTTATATTCGAGTAATAAACAATGGTGATATCATACTGGAAAGTGATTTCAGGGTGATCATTCGATGCTACTGCCGGCATGAGATGCCGCTATAGTGTGCTTGTATGTAAATCAGAATCTAGCAGTATAGCGAGTTTGGTTGGCCCATTACCACACTCAATCTTCGTTCGTGAGGACAGACGTCAGGGTGCGCCGTGTAAACCCCATCACCACTGGATCGAAAGTCCGTTCACATGTGGCCATCCCTCCATAATACATTGAGGTGCTCATCAAGATGCCGCTTAAAAACAGCGTCAGTCGTCTCCTCCAACTTAGCCAGTTTACCGGCCGTGCAGGGGTATGTCGCCATACTACCACACTGAAGTCTCGGTCTGGTGTGGAAAGCGTACAGCAGTCCGTACAGTCCGTACAGCAGTCTCCGTTGTAAGTCAACCAAGAGATCTCAAAGAGGGCCGCAAAATCCTCCACGTATTGATACAAATCCTATTTGTTCTCCCGGGCCTTCATCAGGACTCCTAGGTGCTTTTCGCGCGATGTTCTGCGCAATGTGTTTCTTTGGAGGCTGTAAACCACCTCCGAATCAGCTCGCTTAGCAGTAGCCCAGGTATTCGCCCACTGAGTCAGGGTGTTATGGTCTTCTTGTACAGTTCTATGATCCTCTGGACCCTAGATCGTACGCCAGATTTCGATGTCATCCGCATAGATGACTGATGGGCTGCACAGCTGAAGTCGTTGACGTAAACCACAAACGGGAGCGGATCAAGAATAGGGCTTGGGGGGGGATATCATCTGAGGTGGGATGCCATATGGATAGCGACCTTACAACATGAACGCTGAATGTTTTATCGATAAGGAAGTCTTGCAGACATTTTTGAATGGTTTCACCACTCGTAGGCTGATCAGATTTTGCAGAACGTGGTTACGCGACACTTTGTCAAAGGCCTTACTGAAGTCCACGAAGATGATATCCGTTTCTTGTCCTTTGGCCTTATCCTCAGTTAAAGTTCATGAGCTAGGATTAAGTTTGAGAGACATAAACCACCCGGACTAAAATCTTGTTATTGGTGGCACATAGGACTGTGGCCCACCAGATGTTGCTAAAAAGCCGCACAACCATCACTATTTCCATTACTTTACCCATCACACAAATAAGGCTGACTGGTCAGCAGTTACCTAAGTCACTCTTGTCTTCACCTTTGGGTGGTGGCACAATGACAGCATCCTTCCACTGCCGCGGTAAACGTCCCTGTGTGAAAGACACATAGGAAAGATGCATTCCGACACCGCAGGTTCGTTTTTCAACTTCTCGGGATGAGTGGATACACGCCATCCGGTCCATGTGACTGATGAGCCTTCATCCGACGCAGTTCAGAGGCCACTGGCTCGACAATAAACGAAGGCTGTGTCGGTGTCCAGTGGATGTGGTAATGTGCCGGGGCCTAGGAAAAACAGTCGAATAAGCACCCCGCACAATTACGGAGTTTTGATGACTAAACACCTTACCGGAAAAGTAGCTCTTTCGACAGATCATACCAGCATGTATTTCACGGGTCAAGTACATCTAATTTTATTTCTTTTCCTTACTCAAGCAGACATGAGTTTCTGTCCGTAATAAGTCTTTCTGTTTACAAAGTTGCTGGAGCCATGTGCCTTCTCGTTTCCCTGTAGTTCATCCAGGGAGCTGTCTCAAAAGCTAGTTGCACCGTTTGTACCGAAACGTTCAACTCAAGCACCGTTTTTATCTCGGATACATAACTCACGGAGTTTGAGTTCGTACGTCTCAGTCTGCTCTTGCCTTTTCCGCTACCATTTTCTGTTATCCAATCTGGTTTGACTCGATTTTAGCTGTTTCCGATTCAACTATCATGCTACAGTGTATGCGGTACACATTCTGGCCATCTTATGTGTGCTGACACTGGTCTCAGTAAAGGCGCCAGTTCTGGATTTCATGTTATCAATAATCCCCTTTCATCGCGCCATGGGGTTCAATGGCTTGTATTAGCTTACTGGAATGTCTTTGTACCTTAAAGGTCATTGAGATTGACGTGAGCATGACCGTAGCTCACACCAGTCTGTCCACCGCAGTTACCGGTTGTCACGACAAACTGCAAATTCAGAATGTTTGACGGACCTGTTCGGAAACCAATTAATATGTGCGAATTTCATGGGGGGTGCGTTACTTTTTTCACTGTGAAAATTCGACTTCCTTAGACACATTTTCGTTAAAATAAAAGATAATGAGATAAGATTTAGTATTTCGGCTTTGCATTTGATGGCCGTCTGGATTCTCAAAAACGGTGATGATGGTGTTCGTGAGAACGGAGATAGCATAACATTTTGGGACGATCGAGGGAGGAAGGTTGCAATACATTTATCGCGGGATGCATGTACATCAGCTGCATTTGGATCATCATGAAGTGTATTCACATATCGCATAACCTTCAAGTGTTCGGAGAACTAATTTAGTTCGATGGTAGAGAGAGTACGCGAACGTTTCACAAACGAATAGTTGTTTTGCTTTGTTTAAGCCAAACTAATAAAGGCGCCAGGTGTATCCCGCAATCCGCTGTGTCCGTATCACTGTGATCGTTAACGTCATTCAACCGGAGTCTCACTTAGCGTTCTGTGTGATTTCAAAACGAAAGTTAGCATTAGACTGTTGGCTGTCGATGATTACCTCACTACCGAACCTAAAGTTCCATGCAGTATGAACAGAGGGTTTAAGGCGACCACCTCCATCTCAAGTCGGTTCGCTTTGATCGGAGTACGAAACGAAAGAGTAGATAAAACGTTCAGAAGTGTTTAGAGTGAGTTTCAGTAAACCAAATCGAATCTACAACTGACAGGATTGTATTGTATTGTATTGTATTGTATTCAAGCGTTAGCGGGTTATATACAAGTTTTCAGCCACAAAATAGACCATCGTTACAATTCTGCTAAAAACAGGTGACAAAGTGAGATGTGAAACGTAGGAAAATATGAGGTAATTACTGAAGATATTAGAAAGCTCAGAACGAACAGTTTCCTTGTCGGTCAGTATCCGAGCAAGATAGGGTACCAAAGAGTTTCTGTCTTCGGATATGCGAGAAGGGAAAAGGTTGTACTTAGAACGGGTGGAGGGGTGGGATTTGCATACACACAGGTCAATGTGTGGAGGATGGATGCAATCAGATGGGATATTGTCAACAAACTTCAAGCATGCATCAGTATGGACATTACACATATTGCCAATCAGAAAAGATAACGGAACTTGGGAGACATGGCTGTGCATTGAGAGGCCACGCCTGAACAACTTGAAATCAGCAAACCAGGGAAAATTACAGGTGAGCAGTAAACAGGTATGGGGAGGATATATTGTTGAACGAAAGCGTTTCTCACCGACAGCTTAGAACAGAATTGACGCAGTCTTCTTATCTGAAAAGAGAACTTTCAACTTGCGAGGATTCAGGTGATAAGTTAGACGACAGATTCATGAAACCCGATCAATTAGACTTTGAATAGTATACCCGCGTGAGAGAGAGTGTTGGTGAACTCTCAAAACAGTGGTGAAAGCAAAACCGTCTCTCACGACCTGTTATTTAAGAGATGACGGTGTTTACCTTCGTTGGAAGAGAGAAATAGAACCAAATCAAATGGTTCAAGATGTAGGAAACAGAAATCACATCATTCGCAACGCACTAACGTGTTTGATAACTTTTAGGTCAATTTCATGGAAGTTTTATAAGTTTAAAATCCAGATGAGTCTAGTCACTGATGAGCTCTAATAAGAATGAAACTGAAGTCTAGTGCTTTCGAATTTAGGTTTGAATCGAGGAATTGAGGATTGTGCCCGAAGGCGAAGTCAACTCAAGGAGGGACTTTAATTCGCCCCATAGGGGATGAACATTCACCTACTACACAATCACTCTTCTGTGGAAATTGCATGGTAAAATAGGATGATGATACGCTACATTTACAAACAAATAAGGGAAATTTAGACAAGATTTCGTTTAATGGTCCCAGTGATAAGATCGGCGTTAGTAAGAAACCGTGCCAAGTACGGTATTGTGTGTTGTGGTGCGTGCTGCTATACACGTATACGTGGAGCGAGTGCTGGACGTGAAGTTATAGTGACTAAGGTGGCGGTACAGTGGGTAAGATGGGTTCAGAAGTATTCTGGTAGAAAGATTTTGGCAATCCCTAAAGTGCTATGAAATGATAAATTGCACAACATGCTCACGAAATATGCCGCTGCATCGACATACGTGTTTGATGGATGTACGTATCAGTTTAAATTCTTCGATTAGAAGACGCCGTAAAAATAACTCGGAATGCATAAAGCCAGTGGGGAAGGGTACAAGAGAAAAAAACGTTTTATTAAGTGAGTTGGTGTAGATAGCATTTTCAAACGAATAATGTAACAGGTGAGTATTTAGACTTTGAGAAATGTCTCGACGACATGAGGCGATCAGGAAGATTGCGAGAAATGGTGACTCCAAAATATTTGACGAACCATGCTCTGGAAACTTGTTCACCATTGATAATGTCGTGCTGACAAGAATTCATCACATCAATGTATTGATCAGCCTTCAGCAAAGAAAATAAGGCATCATTCATTCTAAGATTGTGTTGAGAAGACCAGTCGGTGAGCAGTTAAATATCCTGCATAAGTTTGGAGTACACGGATGAATTTGAAAACTTCATGTCATGCACACCATCATCGACATACTTAATGAACAAACAATCAGCAAAAGCAGGCATTGAAGAAATATTGGTTGTAAACGAAAAGGGAGAGAGAATAGCTCCTTGAAGAACTCCTTGAGTGGAGGTTAATAGTGAAGATTTAAGACCCTAATATTTAGTAAATTGTAATTAATGAGTGAAATAAATACGCAAAAGATTGGTAGGCTCCAGCTGAATGCCTTTCTCTGAGAGTGTGAAGAAGTTTGGACCTATCAACAATTAAAGGTATCACTGTAGTCAAACAAACATACACGAACAGCTTTACACTTCCTGTACAAGGAAGAAGAAACATAAACAATAAGGGATGTCAACGCCTCAATGGTTGGCTTGAAACAGCAATAGGCAAATTGAGTGGGATTGGGTGCATTCATCTAAGGATAGTCAGTCCAAATCAATCAGTACCAATTATCCCACACCACTACTCACAAGTAACTGTGAGTTAAATGAGAATAAATTAAATCAATTTTCCTCACTGCAATCTTTTTGTTTTGATGCAAATTCAGAGACATTGTGTTTGGTTTAATGAGCTTTGATTGTCTTCCGCTACATGGTTTTGCAAAGGTCGAGCCTGAAAACAAAAACTAGGTTGGCAGCTGTAGAAGTGCAAAAAGCTTACTTTTCATTTAAATCTGAAAACGTGAAACTTGTTCGCATTACTTAACAGAACCAGTTTGTATGTGAAACGCATTTCGCAGCAGCAGCAGTGGAGGAGAATACTGATCTGTCTAAACAAATTACCCGTCTGGGAGCATCTGACAACACAGGTTAATAGGGGACATCATGACAATCGTTCCTATATGGGGCTTGGTAAATCTCCGGGTCCAGTAGTATACGAGGTTAGGGACACACCCGAAAAATTCAACTATTAAATGATAGCATCACATGATAGAGGATACAATGTGTAACGACTCGATGATATTGTAGGTGATCATTTATTAGGAACAGCTGATGATCAGTGATGAATATTGTGTGTGTGCATTGGGTGGGGGAGGACGTTTCAAGGTAAAAAAAAATAGGAAACCTAGTACCCGGCTTTTCTCAACCCATTGTGTTCAAATCCCTTTTGTATCTGTGTGTCTGTGTGCGTCGCAGTTTAGAAAATGATGTGACTTATTCAGCTTTCTTGATTCGGTGCCTTATTTCGTCGTTCAATTTCCGGTCACAGGGCCGATGCTCCGATCATATCTCATTTGCTGGAGATGGCCTCAGTAGACGAATGCCAATGCATCGATAATCAAACTCCGGGAATGCAGTACGTCTATAATTGTATGCGGTTCACGGATTTGAGAGATATTCGTTTTTAATTTAAATATTTTTATTTGTTTTTTATCTTTCAACTTTCTTTTTTTGAATGTATATTATTACAATTTTGAGGAAGAGAGAAGCGGTCAATCAACTGGGTTGCTACACAACACAGAGGGTGTTAAATTCAGACGGTGGCGGAGGGATTTGAACACACATTCAACGGATCGATCATTTGGCGATCTTAGCCACTCAACAGCCACTGTAGTAATTTCGGATAAGAAGTATAAACTTCAAATTCCAGAATAATCGCATTTTACCTTCAGAACACAAGTCCGAGGGCGAACAATTGTTTTCGAATGATTTCTAATCGTGCCTGTACAGATCAGATAAGGGTTTGTTGTCAGTGGGGATACACTTCCACGCTGGGTCGAAGGTCATTTGGAATGGGGAGTGAGGAGGGATGGGGTAAGCCCTATGTGTGAGATCGTTTGTGATTGGAGTGTTGGTGGTGATGATGATGATGATGATGATGATGATGATGATGATGATGATGATGATCAATTTCGGGCCAGGATAAGTGGAGAGCTTGAACCAGTCGCTTTTGTGCACATAGTTCTGGTGCGAATATGCGAATCCCTGACGCCTATCGCTTATCTAAAGTTGGGATTTGCTTTCAGATTGGAGTTGGCTAATGTTGTGAGTCAATTGCCTATGTGAACACAAGAGAAGGTACGATTGCGCATGAGAACTTAGCTTGGCTAAGAAACCAAGGTTGAACGAATTTCTAAAGGATCGTAACTACAAATGGTACAAGGAATCGTGCCAACAGGGAGGTGATTGATAAGGGACATCAAAACTGAACAGTTTGCAGGCTCATTCGGTTCTTGGCGTAGCACAATTTTTCCTTCCTCCCTTAGCTCTTCTCCTGTTACGTATTTCGAACACAATGATGTCAGAATTTATTTCCCAGTGTCGTGTGTTAGTTGTCAACTGGGCAGACTGTTTTGTTTGAAGAGTACTGGAAATGACATATCACATGCTTGTCTGTGTGCGTATGGAAATTGGTTTTTGTTTACTCTCGTGTTTTCTTTACCAACTTGGTTCTCATTGTTTGTTTGTTTGAACAAACATCAATTATGCACTTCTGTGCGCCGATTTTGGTTGTCGTCTTTTGGCTGCCCATTTGGATGAACAGTAGGAAAAAGACAGGAAGGTTAAAAAAGGAATCGAAGAGAAAATTGGGAATTTCATTGGATTAATGTCGCCAAGAACTTGAGAAGATGCGCGAACGCCACTGTTTACGACACAGCCATATCACTCAGTGTTTCTAACCATGGGTTACGCTCGTCCCGAGGTCCCCATCTAGGCAACCTAAGGGGACCTATGTGACCCAGACTCCTGGTTAAGGTTTTCATACTCTCATGCCAGGTCTTCGATTAACCACCCTTGGCTTTCTTTCACCCACTACTTGCCTCGGCGACCATCGATCACCGTGAACACCTATTTGGTGGCATGCGTAACACGTCCCAGCATATTTAGATTACCGGTTTGTGAATACTTTTCGATTATTATGCATATTTCATCGGCTCGACCAAAGCGATCCACATTCCCTCGTACTCGTGACGACTAACAGTGGTTGGGTATGGTTCATACTGTAGTCGACTACCCAAAACTGAGTGCCACACACGCACACGCAAACAGATAGCGCCAAGGAATGTCTGGATGCACCCCGAGCCTACAAGACAACAAAACGATTTGGATGGACTTGAATTCACGTGATCACCGGAACCATATTTCCCTAGTCCCATTTTATCTGCCGTAAACTGTGTTTTATATACAATAAAGCAATGAATGGAGGAATGGGCAATTAGGCAGGTTTCACAACTTGCTGCAGTGTAACACTGGCAAAATGTGCGCAGAGTTTTCAATGAGTCCTCGTTGCATTTTCAAGACAANTGATGATGATGATGATGATGATGATGATGATGATGATGATGATGGTAATGATGATGTAACGTTTGCTGCTTTTAGCTTCGAAGCAAACTCCATGGCTTTGCATCAATGGGACCCCAGGTGCG